CACTGGCCAGGGGACCAAGGGCCACTGAGAGGTCGCAGCTGCTGCCTCCCAGGAAGAACATCAAGGCAAGAGGAAGACCAAGCTGCTCTGCTCCATCAGGAGCTGCAGGTCGTTTACTTCCCTCCTGCCCTGCCAGAAAGTGCACTTGTCTCCAACTTCCAGTTGCCATGGAACTACTGAGCTGAAGGGCAGAATGCTGTAGTTTCTGCTGTTGGTCAGGGCCAAGGGCAGTTTGGAGGCTTTCCTCCACTTCCTCCCAGAAGTGGGAGATCGGCCTGGCCCCATCGATCGGCCAGAGAAAGTGCAGCTCCAATCCCCTGCATCTGCAGATGTTGCTGTGAAAGACTCTTGCCTAAAGCCCTTAACAACTTGTCTACATATCTACAGTATATCTCAAGAACCCTTACTTCCCTGCCCAGTCACTGAGATCTTCAGCAGAGTCGCTATTGATGGTTGCCCATGACTCAGATGCACAGCCCATAGCCACTGGGAGCTGTTGGCCCAATTTTATCGAACTCCCATCTAGCTGAGGCCAGACAGGCCCCAATTTGTTGAACTTCCAGCATCTACTGAAGGTTTTATTTTTCTTGCCTTTGAATTTTTTGCCCATTTTTATTTTAATTGTGCTATATCACATTCCTCGTACACTGCTTAGAGACGATTGTAAGCAAGCAGTTGATAGATGATAGATAGAAAGATGATAGATAGCAAGCTCAGGAGATCTACTGCCAGTTGATGTAGACATTATTGAACTAGGTAGCTCAATTGATCTATTCATGTCTTTCAGTGTTGCTTCTCCCTCCCTGCTAGAAAGAACATTCAGCTCCAGGTCCCAGTTGCCTGTAGAAATAAGGGGAAAGGATGCTCCCCCCCCACAGCCATCTGCCACAGGAGCAGGTGCCACCAGCCCCTATTCAAGTTAGAACACCAGCCGCCTCTGAACAAGATGTAAATGCCCCCATATACTTACCAATTAGCCTTGGCCTGTGAGACCTCCCCTCCCTTTCTCTTCTGTTCTCCTTCCCACATGTGTCTGGTCTCTTAAAGTTCACAAGCCCAATGGTGGGGCTTCTCTGTCATTAAAAAAAGAGAGAGGGAGACTGCTATGAGTCACTTTGGGAGGCAATTGTCTGAAAAATTGGAATGAAATATAATAAACAAGTCTCTGTATTTCATATTCTAACAGTTCTTTGTGTTGGGTTTTAAAGTGGCTTGAGTCATCTTAAGACATAAGAAAACAAATTAAACCAAAACTCTAAATAGGCACAAATCACACAACTCAAGAATGCAGCTGAATGTAAAATTGTTATACATTTTGTTCAGGAATAAGACATCCATCCCTTGTATGCGACCCTTTTAAAAGCAGGAATGTTGTGAGCAATGTGCATAAGTAGAGCTTACATTGTATCGACCAACTCTCACACTAATGGCGTCTTTGATCCTCTACATAAGAGAATGTGTGGCTGCAGGCCAGCAATAATAGCTAAAGAGAAACCTTTAAAGAGTCAGAAGCTTTTCTTCTTTCTGTTTGTTTGGGTTTTTTTGGTCATGAAAATCAAACACGTAGCCAAAGGGCATCATAAATATATTTGATCACACTTCTGGGGGTTTCCAAATAGGGCGACTGGAAAGCCTCCCTTTGCGACAGTGCTAGTCCAGAATCAGATCAAATTGTTATAAAACAGGCAATGAAACAGGAGGAAGGAATCCCTGCAAGAATTCCTATGGATGATCCTTACCTAAGTGTGCTCATTCACAGAAGCTGAGAGAAAAGGTTTCTACTTCTCTTTGGTGGCAGTGAAGCAGTTGGAAAAGGAATCTTTGCAAACTGTGCATATGACTTGACCTTAACTTTCCCAAGAGATGGGTTCTAGATACATTTCTGCTTCAAATGGGTGAGTATTTTCCAGCAAAATAAGGAACCCAGTAAAGAAGCTTTCCCCAACCTGGTGTCCTGTGTTTTAAACTACAATTCCCATCAGCCCCAGCCTAGAAGGCATTAGGCTGGCGGCGGCTACAGTGGAATAAAGTATGTCATGCCTCCTTATCTGTGGCTTGTAAATTTCAGCCTTTAATTGGGAGAACTCCTTGGCAATTCACAGATAATTTTGGGGGGAGAAATTCAGTGTTGTGCTGTTACAAACCTTCTGTCAGCACAAATATAATTGACAGAACCATTTCCTGTCGCCCTCCCACTGCACACTGTTCTGGGGTTCTCCTGCCCCCACAGAGGTTATTTTGGGGTTTAGGGGGCAGGCAAGGAGAGGTGAGGGAGGAATCCCCACTGCGCTAATGGAATTCCTTGTGCTGGCTTCTGCTAATAATAATAATAATTATTATTATTATTTATACCCCACCCTCCCCAGCCAAGACTGGGCTCAGGGCTGCTAACACCAGGTATAAAAAAATTGATTAAAATACAACTTAAAAACAAGATTAAAATACAACATTAAAATGCAGCCTCATTTCATTTAGTTGAATCCAGCCCACTGTCTTAACTCTCAAAATAGAAAAGAGAACACCCTAGATATGTTTTTCATATCCCCCACAATGGCACTGGATTATGTTGGCATTAGTTTGATTCCTGCATTGTTGCATAATAATACTGTATGTAGACAGAATGTGGCCTGGGATAGCTCAGATGGTAGAGCATGAGACTCTTAATCTCAGGTTGTGGGTTTGAGCCACAAGTTGGTCAAAAGATTCCTGCTTTGCAGGGGATTGGACTCAATGACCTTCACAGTCTCTTCCAACTCTACAATTCTATGATTCTATGCCACGGACTAAAATAAAATATCTGGACCTGCTTGACAAAGATGCTGAGACCCTATGTTCTGAGGAAAGCAATCGAAGTAAGGCATATCACATATTTATTTGTTTTGGGCAGAACAAGTTCTGCTGATGCAAGAATTATTCAGGAAGCACAGGAATGATATCGTAAATAGAGGATGAAATAAACAGTTTGTGGATTGCGGCTCTTCTGTTTCAAGTAATGAGTTCCTTTGGTCAATTCATGACTTTAAAAAATGCCACCACTGTACACATAGGAAGTTATTCAGAGAAAGTTACATTTAAGTCCTTTTGAAACCAGTGGAACTTGATGGATTAAGTGGAAACCTTGATGATAAGAGGAAAACATGAGAGACCTAGGATGGCTTCTAAATATATTTATGCTAACAAAATACTAAGAAGTGACAAAGCAGGCTCTAATGGCTGAGACAGCATAAAACTGCTCATACTAAATTTGTAACAAGCTCCATCCTTGCTTCAAATCCTGGTTAGGGGAAACCCTTGTTGGCATTAACCTTGGTCTGCAGTCATACCAAGCAGCAATGGACAAGGCAATCGGAAAAGAGGATAATTTGTACTTGAAAGGTCAGTGGCTGGGAGAAAGATACATACAGTCCCATGACCCAATCCTAATACTTTAACCCTGATGCAGAAGCATTGCCTCAGCCTTCTGTATCTACTAGTCCATGGCAAATAGAAGGGGAAGAAATGGAGGCAGTGAGAGATTTTACTTTCTTAGGCTCCATGATCACTGCAGATGGTGACAGCAGTCACGAAATTAAAAGATGCCTGCTTGTTGGAAGAAAAGCGATGACAAACCTAGACAGCATCTTTAAAAGCAGGTTGCCGACAAAGGTCTGTATAGTTAAACTATGGTTTTCCCAGTAGTGATGTATGGAAGTGAGAGCTGGACCATAAAGAAGGCTGATTGCCGAAGAATTGATGCTTTTGAATAATGGTGCTGGAGGAGACTCTTGAGAGACCCATGGACTGCAAGAAGATCAAACCTATCGATTCTGAGGAAATCAGCCCTGAGTGCTCACTGGAAGGACAGATCCTGAAGCTGAGGCTCCAGTACTTTGGCCACCTCATGAGAAGAGAAGACTCCCTGGAAAAGACCCTGATGTTGGGAAAGATGGAGGGCACAAGGAGAAGGGGACGACAGAGGACGAGATGGTTGGACAGTGTTCTCGAAGCTACTAACATGAGTTTGACCAAACTGTGGGAGGTAGTGGAGGACAGAGGTGCCTGGCGTGCTCTGGTCCATGGGGTCACGAAGAGTCGGACATGACTAAAAGACTAAACAACAACAACAAACACACAAACACAAAGACAAGTGAGAATCACCAGTTCAGTGCCAAACAAAGAAGATAATCCAGTTATGCTATAGAAATCGTATTTATTCTGAAATGCCAATGCACCTTGAGCTCTTGCCCCCCGCCTTTTTTGTCAATCAGGGAATGAAAAACTCATACTAAGGCAGGATAGTGTGTAATATTAGTGTCGAATGTTAGCTGGGTGTTTTATATTATTAAAGGTTAACCTAATCACAGACATTATGAGGTGTGGAATAAAATACCAACATAAATGTTCTGTAACTCCTGTTTTCGATGGTGTTATTAGATTCAATATTGTTGGAGGATTCCCCACCCCTGGCAGGTTTTGACTTCGCATAATAACTCTTTAGACATATGACCTACTGAATGCTGTGGCCTGGTGTTACTCTAATCAAAACATGTTAGTCACATGAATATTTGTGAAACATACAGATGACAGCTTCAGTGTATGCATTCAGGATGAACTATCTCTTCAAATGAATGACATCAATGTAATCTCTCCGGATTCAGCAAACTATAAGTCATGTCAGCTGGGTTCCACCAACTTTACAGGACTGTAAGACCTTAATCAATCTCACAGTCATGTTTTTAATCCAAAATGTTTAACCTTGCCCATTTACAATGTCATGGCTTGAAACTCGCATAGCAATACAGACTCATTTCCTTTCTTGGAAATTGACCTTAATAATTTTTGTACTTGCTGACTCATAAAGAATATTATAGTCCAGATACAGCACATACTAACAGCTTTCTCGCATACAATACTATTTAAATTGACCAAAATAGAACCACAAGTTGTTGTTGTTGTTTTAAAAAAACCTGTTTGTGCTGAAAACTGTAACTCAGAATTTAATCTCTCTAGATCTGATCATTACAGAAGCTGTGGCAATATTCTTTCAAGCATATACTAAACAGATATAAGTCCTGGTGACCTCAAAGGGATTTTTCTGAAGAAGAGTATGGAGGATTGCAGGCTGAGTGTTTGATCCACAGAAACGTAAGACTATAAATATAAAGTAATGGCAAACAGAAAAAAAGAGGCAGAAGGGAATGCTGGGACTTGATGTGGGAGCTTCTGGGCTTGTGTGCATTTGCCTCGTATGGTGAGTTGCTGAATTTCATGTTCTGGCTTTTGCCTGGGCACAGTTTAGTATCCTTAGGCCCTGGACTAAACTCACCCATCCAGCTTGGCCAGTAGGCCTTCCTGGGCGGAGACTGAGAGGGCTTCTGAATAAGCTGCAAGGCTTCAGTTTGTTGGAACCACACATTTAACCTAACAATATTTTGTCCAAAAGCAATATGCTGAATGCTGCTGGTTTAAAAGAAGGTCATTATTAAAAAATAATAGTGATCAGAAAACAACCCCCATCCTATGCAAAAGTAGAATATTTTATTAAATCCATGAAATCCAGCACATTCATCCATTTGAAGGCAGCCTGTAGCTTGCTTCTCGGTGCTAAAGAATGTTTCCGTGCTTGTTGGTGCTGACGGGAAGAAGGCTAACGAGAAAAAGAGTGATTGTGACAAGCAATTATGTCACCTATGTGAATGGCTTAATTTTCTAAATTAGCCACTTTGATAATTATGACATCTCATTTGTCTTTTAATTCCATGAGCTCTGAAGTTTACCTTTGAATCCCCCCCCCCAAATCAGATAAGAGCCTTTGATAAGCCAAGGGTCTATTATGTGACTGGAGGGTGGGGGGAGAGAAACCCCTCACATTTCAGTCTGATTGGATCTGCTCATCTGCTGGAGCCAGAGCAAATAACACCCTTGACAAGAGCTCTCACTCCTTGTGTGTGCACTAACTAGCCAGAATGAAAGCGGAGAAGTTTGCTAAGCAAATTAATAACATAAACAGGACTGGGGGGTTGCTGTCTAGCCTGCTTAAGAGTGAAGGCAAACAAACTGTTCTCAAGGACTTTTATAGCCACTTTCAGCAGCCTTTAGTGTGCTGGCAATTAGCATGTTAATTACATTTTCCTCTCACTCAATTAAAGCATTTCTAAGATTCACTAGCAAATGGAAATCTGCCTTGTTTTAATTATTTTTATTAGGTGTTGCCAGTTTGTATTTATTAAATTACATCTGGAAGTTAATGTTTAAAAGATTCTACCAGTGATGAAGTATATACTACAGTTCTTGCTCTGTTTTCTCCTGGCACCAGAGATACTAGGCTTGTTCGTGCATTATACTGAATACAGGTACAATATGAGCTGTCTCTACAAATTTATTGTGTGCATTTATTGTGTACACAGACTGTAGATTCGTTGAGCATCGCATGTGAATAACTGAACAAGTGTACAGCTCCGCTGTTGTGTAAAGATGTTGACACTCCTATTGTTAACTATAATTAGAACACCAAGGTGCATTTTTTGATAATTGCAACAGTCTGTAAGTACCTGCCACCCATTGTCTAGTGTTACATCGGTCTGAAATGCTATACTGTTAGGATTAGGCCAAAATTTACTTACAGTGACAAAAATACCAGCCATCCATCTTCAAGAATAGTTCTGAGTAACTTGAATGACTGACTGCTTCTAGGGCTGCTGGAGCCGATAAAAAAAAAAAAGATGCTATCGTAACATGACTCATCTATCATATTGTTGTTGCTGTTGTTGTTGTTAGTAATAATAATACAGGTACCTTGGTTTTCAAATGTAATAAGTTCTGGAAGACCGTTCAACTTCCAAAACATTCAAAAACTGAAAATTCAATATGGAAGCCTCAAAACAAATGGAAAACTCAAACAGGAAGCTGCCTCGGAATTTAAAAAATGGAAGCATTTACTTATTTCCAGGTTTTTGACTTTCAAAAACTGAAATGTTTGGCTTCTGAGACGCTAAAAAACTGTAATAAGTTATTAAATTTCTATACTGTTCTTCATCTGAGGATCACAGGGCGGTAAAAAATATGAAAACACAAAAATACATAACATCTGTTGGCCTTAGTCTGTCTCGGCAGACAATGCAGGGGTGTTCCTTTGGGGGTCAAACCATTGGAGCATTGCAGCGTCTGCTGTGGCTGTAGAGATGTTTTATTTCAGGTGGGACAGATGAAGGTGTTTGGTTTTGCTGCTACAGGTGCACCATGTCAATGCTTCTCTCTGCACTCCCCCAAGCAGTCATTCCTCCTCTGGATGCTGCTGTAGATTCATGACCTATTTGTCACCAGGCACTGCGATTATCTGCAAGGGATTCCCATACGGCAGGGTCAATGTTGTCAGCCTTCATGTCACATTTGCAGACATCTTTGTAACCCAGAGTTGGTCACCTTCCTTTCTGTGTACATGGCCAAACCAGTGTAGAGACAGAAGTGTGAACATGCTGGGAATGTGGGCTTTGGAGAGCGCATATTTGTTTGAGACTCTGTGCCCAGAATCTTCCTGATGCAGCACATATGGAATGGATTGAGGTGTTGCTCCTGGCGGGTGTAAGTTGCTCACAACTCACTTCCATAAAGCAGTGTGCTCAACACATGAGCCTGGTAGACCTTCATCTTGGTATTGGTCATTAGTATCACATTCTCCCATACTGTTTTGGAGAGGTGAGGCATTTGTCCGTGCTCTGCCTGTCTTGGAAGAGTTGGATGTTCCTTCCTCCTCTGATGAGCTGAGGAGCACCATCAACCTTCAGGCATGTGAGAAAGCCCCAGGACAGGACAGAATGCCAATAAAAGTTGGAGCAAGAACAAAGTCCTGTTTCACACTGCTTTTTATATTGCCCAGGAATGCGGGTGGTGCTATGGTCTAAACCACTGAGCGTCTTGGGCTTGCTGATCAGAAGGTCAGCAGTTCAAATCCCCACGATGGAGTGAGCTCCTGTTGCTCTGTCCCAGCTCCTGCCAACCTAGCAGTTTGAAAGCACACCAGTGCAAGTAGATAAATAGGTACAGCTGCAGCTGGAAGGTAAATGGTGTTTCTGTGCACTCTGCCACTCATCACAGTGTCCCGTTGTGCCAGAAGGGGTTTAGTCATGCTGGCCACATGACCTGGAAAGCTGTCTGTGGACAAATGCCGGCTCCCTCAGCCTGAAAGCAAGATGAGCACTGCACCCCATAGTCACCTTTGACTGGACTTAACTGTCCAGGGGTCCTTTACTTTTATCTTTTTTACCTTACCACTGCCCATGCTGGTGGTGTTGCCTGCATTGCTTCCACTGTTCCAGCAATTCCACCAGTTTGTAGTACTGATCACAAGTTACACCTGTTGAAAGTCCCTCTTCTACATAGCTATTAAAGTTTCAGAAACTTTGCCCTATTTATCATTTGAACATCCTCATTTATGCCCCAGAACCATAAATGCCAGTAAGTCTTCTGAAAAATTCATCCTAAATTTGATGAGGCTGTATAACCCCCAGATCAACACAGAATTCCACCTCAGTCAAATTCTACATCAGTTCCAATGGATTCATCTCCCAGTACCTAAAAATCATCTCAAAGTCACAGCAATCTAATTGAATGTCAGAAGTGATGTTCTAGTTTCTCCCCATGTTTCAGTGTGTGTGTTTTTTTTTCCTATCTCTTTTCTCTTTCCCCTTCATGAAGGGATGGAGTAAACAGCTGGAGTCTCATAAGAGGGCTGATTGATTGTTGAAGTACCCAGATGGCAAACTCCACAAAACACTGCTGTGGCAATGTTTGTTGTTCATTTATTTATTTATTTATTTTATTGCTGCTCCCTCGGCTGATGCCTTTGCAAGAGCCGAGCAATAACTTCCTGGCTATGCTCCATTTGAATAACCTTGTCACATAACAGGGTCGCTTGGGTCTCAAAGTATATCACATCGTCGTCATTATAATAAAGAAATTGCTACCTGAAATTTAGTTGTGATCATGTGAAAAATTCAGACTTTATAATCTTCATAGGATGTGTTGACGGAGATGCTACAGCAAAGAATAGTTTTTCCTTTTAAGATACTTAGCCGTTTTATGTATTTATTCAGATCTGGAAAGAAAAGACAGCATAAGACCAACAAAGGGAGACAACTTTTGATATATCCAAACTTTCAAGGGCAACTTGACACTGATTTTCTAATTTACAAAATTCACAACATCTCTGAAGCAGGGTGAGTGTACAAATACTTGAGGTTTTCTTTAAACAGAATAACTGCGAAACAGTTAACAATGAGAGTGTTCAAGGAACCTGGAAGTGTTGAATTGGCCTGATAATTCTCTATGGAAATCTATTGCTTAGAGCTGGGAAATGGTGGTTATGTTCTCATTAATATGTTTCTGATGTTCAATAAGCACCAAACTTAAAATATATGATATTAATGGAAACAACCCAGCACAGAACTCAATGGTTCTTGAATGTGCTATTGAAGCCCTCATCTCTAATGCTGTCCTACAATTTCTTGAAAGTTTCCCCCCCCCCCTACTGTGAAAAATGCTGGTTTTTTTCTGCTTCATTCGCAGGGTGCTTTAGACTTTCTTTAGAATTTTGGTGGGTGCAGAAATGAACTTACTTATCATGACAAGGTGGCTGAGGGTGGCATGCATGGTTTTCTTTCCATTAAACCTTTCTCCGGTGCTCTGAGGTGCTCTGCCTGGCTGTCCAGGATTGTTGTTGTTGTTTAGTCGTTTAGTTGTGTCCGACTCTTCGTGTCCCCATGGACACAGAGCATGCCAGGCACTCCTGTCTTCCACTGCCTCCCACAGTTTGGTCAAACTCATGCTGGCAGCTTCGAGAACACTATCCAACCATCTCGTCCTCATCTGAAAAAGTCCCATGGGAGGAATTACCCATGTCTTCCCCCAGGGTTATAACTTAAGCATGGAAAACTGACTACCAAATGTGTGAGATCCATAGCTGTCAACTTTTCCCTTTTCTTGCGAGGAATCCTATTTGGAATAAGGGAATTTCCCTTTAAAAACGGGAAACGTTGACAGCTATGATGAGATCATCAGTACACTTGCTGGTTTTGTTTCAAATAGGTTCTTCCACAATTTTTTATTAAAAAAAAATCAACTGATTATTTTAAAATTAAAAATATTGCGCTTTGTAAAATAACAGCGAACAGCTGTGAAGGCCACAGTAGACAGTGTCCTTGGGTTTTCAGGAAGCACAGGTTCCTGGGAAACTTGCATAGTACAGACCACTGGAGAGATTCTTGATAGAACGCAAAAAGGACAAACAAACACCCTAAGTAAAAAAACACATCAAAAGCAAAACCACCCACATCCCACCCATGAGAATTTCTCCATAATTTTACTTGTACTTTGAGCATTTTCAAATGCAATTTATTTTCTTGGCAGAGGATGGCCGAGGAGATAAATGACAAAAAATATTTCAGCACATCACCAGAAGAGACATTTCCTTCTGCGAGAAAGAATAGGGTGAATTCCATTTGGTGCTTCTCATCTGCAATGTTTATAAGTGCTTGTGTTGAAAATAATAGTTAAAAGAAAGAAAGAAAAGTAAGCCCGTTGCCTTATTAATCACCTTTTTTTGGTCAAACAACAGTTAAAAGAAATCAATTAATCTAACCAATGAATCAGTTAAAGGGTTCAGTCCTGATGAAAAGCCACCTGGTTATTTGTTATTGCTGAATTTTCCATTTTAAATTACAGATTATCACCCTTAGCATATTCATCATCATTTTAAAAGAGGTTATTAGTATTCTCATTTCACAGCTGTGGAACTGAGGCTGGGAGAGAGAGTACTCTGCCATGGCGGAATTAAGATTTGAATGCCATTCTCTCAGATTCAAAGAGAATCTTGAATTCAGGCAGCATTTCACAGACCGTCCTGCGGTCGTGAGATCCTATGCTAGAGTCCCCACCACATCCTAGACCCTGCAGCTGGCTTGCTCAGGCCAGGATTGGAAGTGGTAGGGGTGGGTTTCTACTACCATTATTATTATTATTATTAGGCATCTTTTCACAGCACAATGTTCAGGGCTTACATAGCTGAGGGTTGGGGACTTGTCAGGGGCTGGAATGGACTTTAGACTGCAGCCTAATAGGCTTTATACTGTCATAGAATTGTAGAGTTGGAAGGGAACCTGAGGGGATCATCTAGTCCAGGCATGGCCCAACTTGGCCCTCCAGCTGTTTTGAGACTACAATTCCCATCATCCCTGACCACTGGTCCTGTTAGCTAGGGATGATGGGAGTTGTAGTCCCAAAACAGCTGGAGGGCCAAATTTGGCCATGCCTGATTATTTTAGTCCAACCCCCTACAATGCAGGAATATGCATCTGTCAAATTCAGGAACTGAACCTGCAACCTTGGCATTATCAGCGCCATGCTCTAGCCAGCTGAGCTATCCAGGCTCAATCATATTTGATCATCATGATAAGCAAGTCTTTTCAGATTTCAGGAAAATGTAAAATCACACCTTTACACCTCTTCCCCTGCAGAGGAAATAAATAATAAACTTTCCATTTATTTTATTTTTTGGAAGGGGGGCAAGGAAATAAAAATGGCTTTCCTCCCATGGTGTTCCAGTCACCTTTATAAATTGTCACTCTGATACTGTCAAGGTGAAATATCCGTAAACATGCGCAAGTCTCTTCCCCATTCACTGCTGCACTTTGTCAGATACCTTGAAAGCATATGTAAGAAAGAACTGGGGAATATCTCTGCTGCTGAATAGGTTTCTGCAGAGATAACTGTTGATCTTTATGGACTATTGGCTTATGAAAGCGTTTCACCACAACTGCAAATGTCTTGTTAAACAGATCAGATTAGGCCTCTAATATCTGTTTGTGCGTTTACATAATAATAAAACTTAATTCCTCCCTCTTTTAGGACATCTTAGACACAAGGAAGATTTGGGCATGTCATTTTTTCTTTCTTTCTGAAACTCACTTGAGTGACTGATGCAGAAGATGAATAATCTGCCAGGTAATGCCAATGTATTAACAATGCTGATGAGGCTGTCATGTCCATTCTGCAAAGCAGGAACAAAAGAAAAATGCTGGCATCCTTGCTGCTGAAATATCAGCTTAGTTAAAGGTTTCATGACAAACCATTTGTCTTTTACCCTTACTCCATGGCCTTGCCAGCAATTTTCAGACGTCTGCCAAAATGAAAATGTTGCAGCTGCCAACGACAGGGACTTTTATACATGACATTTTTGCGGGGTGGGCTGGGGGTACGTGTGTGTTAGACAGGGGTGCTTTCCCCCTTGTTTTTCTTTCCTTTTAAAAAATATATATCTTGCTGTAAGGGCTTTTGCAGAGCCTTAAAATAAAAAAGGACTTTCATTTAAAACAGTTACTTGGTGCTAATGGATTTGTTTCCACTTTTTTTCTTCTCAGTGTTCCTTACTATTTGGCTTTATTCTTTGGTTGCTGCTTTCCCCCATTTTCACGTCAACACCATAACATTTAATGCCATATTATACCACCTTTAACAGCAATGGCTCTCCCTCAAACAATGCTGTGCAGTTCTCCCTAAGAGCAACTCCCCAGCACCCTCTCAAGAGTAAGTACCCCTGCCCGTACGCGCTAGTCTTGCCAGACTCTAGTTGCGCCCATCTCACTTATAGCCGTGCGCCAGCGCTGTCCGGAGACACTTCGGTCACGTGGCCAGCCGTGACATGCGCTGCTCTGGCGAGCCAGATGCCGCACACGGAAACGCCGTTTACCTTCCCGCTTTAAGCGGTCCCTATTTTATTACGTGCACCCGGGGTGGCTTTCAACTGCTGAGGTTGGCAGCGCTAGGGACCGAACGACGGGAGCGCACCCCGCCGCGGGGATTCGAATACCGCCGACCTTTCGGATCGGCAAGCCCTAGGCGCTGAGGCTTACCCACACGCCACCACAGCACCCTTAATGAACTACAGTCCAAATGTTCTTTAGGGGGGAAGCCAGGAAACTATTAAAGTAGTACAAGTGCATTAAATGCAGGGGTATATGTGTTCCTCTCTGTCCGCAGTTCTCCACTCCACCCCCAACAGGTATAATGATGTTTCGTTCTTTGGGATATATATGGCAGTGGCAATCCTTCACATGTCTATTTCAGAAGTAAGGACCCAATGGGTGATATTACCGGTATCAGCTTCTGCTCAGAGCCAACTCATTGAAATTGAATGAACAACTTATTTGCAGTGGATCTGACTCTTGATACAGACAGGTTATTGGGCTCACTCCAGCTAAGTAGTTATGAGGACTGTAGTCTCAGTGTATAGCATGTTAACAGTAGCAGGAATGACAGCTCTGAGGCTGGATCTAGATGCGTCAAAGAAGCGTTTCAGGAAAACACGTAAACTTTGTATGAGAAATCGCGTGGGCAAAAACAGAACTCCACAGTGCCATCTGTGTTATAATGCATATACAACACATATAAAACACTTTTCTCGTATTTACAGGACCGCCTCTCCGGGTATGCCCCACAAAGGACCTTAAGGTCCATGAATAACCATAGTTTAGAGATCCCAGGCCCTAAGGACGTCAGACTATCCTCCACCAGAGCCAGGGCCTTTTCAGTGATGGCTCCGACCTGGTGGAATGCTCTGTCCCATGAGACTAGGGCCCTTCAGGATTTAACCTCCTTCTGTTGGGCCTGTAAGACAGAACTGTTCCACCTGGCCTTTAATTTGAATTCAGCCTGATCTTTTATTTTCCTTCTCTTCCCTCCCCCTCCCCTTTTATGAAGATTACCCGCTCTGAGACCCCACAGCTAATTCTCCCCTGGCCTCCTTGCTGGCCCAAGTAGGACCAATTCAGCCAGCTAGCCCTGGGGATGATCTAATGCTTATTTCCCCTAATCTGATTTCTGAATTTTTGAATTTTATTTTTATTCATGTTTTTATACTGTATTTTACGGTGCTTTTACAATTAAGTGTTTTAAATTTGTTGTTAGCCGCCCTGAGCCCGGTTTTTGAACCGGGAAGGGCAGGGTATAAATAATAATAATAATAATAATAATAATAATAATAATAATTATTATTATTATTATTATTATTATTATTATTATTATTATTTCCCTTTTTCTAATCTAGCCGAGTCCTGAGATACCACATAAGCCCAGCAATCATAAGATACATAGTGATATGATGGCTCCTGGTAAAGAAATGTGACTGAAATAAAGCAAGACCTCGCTTTGAAAACAAAGAAGGGGCCAACTGACATTTCTGAACAATCACCAGAAAGAGCCCTATGTACAGTACCAGACACTTCAGACGTCTAAATGGGATGTTATCAGGGCCAGCCCAGGACATTTTGTTGCTTGAGGCAAAGGAGAAGATGATGTTTCCCTTCCTTCCATGTACAGCTGCTGAATGGTTGAACCTCACTTCACCACCAGCAAAGGGACAGAATTCTCCAGCACACCTGGAGGCAGCAGGTTAGCAGAAGGAGCGAGGAGTAGGCTGCCTTGCATATAACTTGGTCTAACTCTGCTCTTCAGCAACAGCCAGCTTAGGTGGTCACCTCACTCTGCTTAATGGTAGACTTGGCCATAGGTGGTACCAGTATGCAACCTATGGCTGCATTGTAGCATTGGACAATTGCACCACTGTTTTAAATACAGTTTCTAAACGTAAAACAGCACAGAGCTCCTGCACATTCAAAAACAAATTTCCTATTGCATGTACTGAGCTGTCCCTGGTGCTATAGTGTAGAAACTTTGCATTCTTGGTGGACATCGTCACTGTCCGTATATGCATTCATAAGAAAACTCGATTTCAGGTTTTTTGTTTTTGTTTTAAAAAAAATAGATTTCAAAAAGTTTGGTGTACTGCTCAGCAAAAGCTTCTGCATAACTTTGTTATGGTCTCTGTCCAAGCCTCTCTGTTATGGGTATTTGAACGAGTTAGAATGAGAGCCTATTATCATACAAATGAAACATATTTTAAAAACGTATTAGTTGATGACTTTTTACCCTATCTGCAGCAACCAAAACAGATTATCTAGATTTGCCAGCTGCTCAGCATTTAATGGCAGGTCTTTATTTTAACAGTTCACCTACTATACTCATGTGCAATTGAACATATCTCCCATCTACTGTTCTTGCCAACTCTGTCTCCAGCAATTATCCTGTTCTAGTACAGCAGTACAGCGCACTTGCCAGCGCTGTGAAATTTGCAGGTGGTAGCTATAAAGCACTGCTTCTTACTCATCTATCTGTAAGGCACCCTGTGGTGGCAAGAGACTGTGATGGCTCTGATATTGTTCGTAGTGAAGGCCATGCCACGAGCTTGGGCAGGAGAAGTGCTGTCTCCATTTCCCATTGATCCAAATGACTGGCTGTGCATATTTTGCCTATTTTATTTTATGTATGGAAACGGATAATGGCGCTGCCACATGCAGATGTAAAACTGAAACGCTGATGGGATTTAGGGGGTGTTTCTTTCCTTAAAGGATACTAATGGAGGCAACGTGATTGATGGGTGTCAAGCTGCACTTGTGAATTTGGAGTTAAAATATGCATCTTTGCAATGAATTGGCGCCTCTTG